CCTGATAAACATTTTACTAGTTAACCACTTTTTGATATCTTTCACAGAAAATGAGATATATAGGCTCAAAGTGGACGATCCGGGTGTCGTTCTATTAGAGGTTTTACGGTAATATTTTGAAATCAACATGAGAAATCGAGAGCCTACTGTCCAAATAGAGATTCTTCTTTTCTTGTTTGTTCATAGATTGGTTTGTATCAAAAAACAAAGGAAACTAGACGTAGGGGTCGAGAGTGACAATCGGAGAAAAGTTCTGAGGAAATGAATAAATATTGAGGAAGAGAGAAACCTTTAAATTGAGCTCACTCGGTTGTCCAAATCATATCAATTTCAAATCTACTCGTTTTTCCGATATGGGGATCTCGGCTGAAGACAGTGGAAGGCGTTTGCTCAAATCGGAACATGGAACTTATATAAGGTTAGTTTATCTGGAACTTTGATCTTAATCCTATGTTTGCAGAGCCAATGCGCAGACGGTTGACTTGAAGAAGGGCAGTCCATGTGATTCGGAACATTGGTACATCGTGGATTTGGGATGCAAGGTAGCCACTTTTCCTTTTTCAAATATCTTCCTTATTAATAAAACGCTAGAGGCGTCTGTCCGTCCTCGCGTCCGTCTGTGGACTTTTGAAAAAATTGAAAAATACATATATATTTACGTGACCCTTTTATTCAGAAAAAGTGAGAAACGAAGCGACGAACATTTGAAAAAAATAGATTGAATCGCGTCGAAGGTGCACCAGCTTGCTGGTAAAAATGCATTTTAGGTTTCAATCAAAACGTTCAACTCACCGGAACGTTTTCTGCAAGCTGTGCCTTCTGGAGAAGTGGATTTGGTAGAAACGGATCCTAACCAATGTCCTGCGGTGATGTGGCAACCATCCAAAAATTCGGATGGAACCTGGTCGTTCCTTAGTACCTATGGAACTTGGTTGAGGTAGGATTTCATATGTTTCTGTTGATTCTTCTTCCATTTCAGCGGTCTCGGAAATGGCGTGGTCTGTTGTATGCCGCATTGGAGGTCGTCAGAGAAATTCACACTTCCATTGTGGTAGAAACATCTGAACTGTACAAAACGGGTGTTATTTGAACTTTATTTTCTTGTGTAAACAATGTTTAAGATTGTTTGAACTTGTTAATAGAAAAGACAGAAATTCAGACATATGGAACTTCAATAGAAGTTATTCAATGGAAGTTATCATATTTGTTTTATTCAAAACTTTACACAAGTTAATAAATATGTCTTTAAATCGCATCTTTAAGAGTATTGATAACACATATCACCGAATATTGAACAATCGAAATCTGGTTTATGACTTCTCGCAAATTGCTCGTTGACGGGGATATCTCGTAGCTGTCCATCTGAAGCCAGTGATACAGTACAACCTGTAATAGAAGCCCCTCCCCCCACTGTCAAGTTTTAGATCAGTTATCTCGGCATCTATAAGAGATATCAAAAATGTGTCAATTGATAAAATGTTTCTGATATTATGATAAACAATTTATCAGTTGACAACTTGTTTCATATCTTTAACTGGAAGCGAGGTAAATTGGCTGAAAGGTAAAAGTTAGAGGGCCCTTCTATCACAGGTTTTACAGTATGTTTATGTAAAAAGCTGAAATGAAAATATTAACACTCACTGCGTTTTGAATTCCAGCGAACAGGGAATTCGAGTATGCGTCCGAATCACTGACCGAGAACATAACATGTCTTGCTGAAGGATTGTGCTTGGATACACCTCGTGGATTTATAAAACATCTTTCACTGCTAAAAATGGCAAAATCAATAAGGATGTTTAATAAGGAAATTTCGGCTTACCTGATCAGTCTCTCGTTCACAGCTCGAACGTGATTTGTATCATGATACTGTCTAGTATCTTGGAATCTTATTGCCACTTTGAGCAAGTCCTGAGCACTATTAGATAAAAGAGCATACTGTTCGAGGATACTGTCCAAATCGATTCTCGAAACGTTCATTCCTAAAATGGAAGTTTTCAATTGAGGAAGATAGCTTTTGATCATAACAGATGCCAAATTTGTTGTATTTACTGGTAGAACCGTCTTATCCGCAAACATTCTAAAATAAAAACATATGTGACCAGACAACTTCAAACAACCTTACACTGCTAATTCTGCCCAATACTGCCCAATTGCTCTATGTACTGCAAGATCGTCGGTATCCATTAGGTGGATATTAGTGAAAGGTGTCTCGTACATGGTATGATACAATGGGTAAGTACTATACGCCGTGTAATTTTTGTATTTAAAATTTACGACAGGGACACCTGCAAAGTTCAGAAAGGGCGCATGGTCGGAGCCACCACCAGGAACACGGATCTTCGGATGACCCACTTCCTTGTCAGGAAAAACGTTCATCCAAGTATCGTAAACTGTAGCTCTCCCGCTCGATTTTTCTTCCTTCGAAGGGTTAGGAACTCGTTTTGCTGCTTCAATGGCGACGTGCTCCAAAGTGGGAACTGTTTCGACATGTCTGTAACTTTGACTCAAAACAGCAATTTAACAAAAACTTACAAACTGGAGTTTCCTTGAATACAATCCATGTTAATATAAACCACGGCCCGCTTTTGCAAAATATCCACAAACTCTTCGACAAATTCAGTGGAACCTATCAGACCGAATTCTTCTGCATCCCATGCATTGAACACAATAGTACGGGCTGAAATAGAGGAAAATTTCAAGCAAATATTCTCAACTAACCAGGCCTCCAATGAGTTTCATTGATCGTCTGCATCATTGCTCTTGCCACTTCCGCCAAAGCAGCTGTTCCAGAATTGGGATCCACTGATCCATACACCCATGCATCGAAATGATTCCCAAGCATAACATAGCGATCTGGCTCTTTGGAACCTCGGATGTATCCAATAACATTTTGAATCCGTCTATAAAACCCAAGTTGTTCACGAAGTCTCTGAATTTACCAGAAAACACTGTAAACCGGATCTTTGCCGGGCCTTTGCGGGCCCTGCCATAGGTCTCTTTAGAATCAATATTTTTGAATTTGCTAAATTTGATACGATAGAACTCGACGAGTACTACAGAACGATATTATTCGAAAATCTGTATTTTATCTATGAACAAAGTTACAGACGAATCAAACCACAAACCAAAAAACCAGACCCGACCACTTTATGGCTTGTAACTTTGTTCATAGACAAGATACAGTCCTCCAAAGAGTATCATTTTGTAATACTTTTTGAGTTTTATGATATTCTGTTCAGTTGGTCCAAAAATACTTTTCTTCTGAAAGAGAATATGGCATGGCCCGCAAAGACCCGGCAAAACCCGGTTTACAAGTTTGCAAAAAGGTAACTAACTTGGTCTTGAGCTCACTGTGCACATTTATTGTTAACTTCTCGCCATTGCCGAAACCCGGACCAAGTTTATATGTGAGGTTTCCTCCGACTGATCCTGAAACTTTTTTTCGTAATAGTGACTGCAAAAACTAGAAAACCTTGCCAATCGAAAGGAGCATCCAGACCCGAAATTCTCTTCATCAATTGTAGCGCAGTAGTATACGATACGGGAAGTACTGGGATGGAAGGGAGCGTTCCATCGTCATAAGCCTCCTTTATAGTTTTTCCTTTAAAGAGTTCTATCTTCGAAGGATAATAAGGAGAGAGTGGATCTCCATGCCCGTGCATTAATGATCCTCTTTGAACACTTTCGTTTGGCATCCAGATCGTTTTTGGATAGACATGATCTGAGCTTATAAAAAGTTCTAAAGCTCAACATGAAACGTTTTCTTACCAGAATCAACGCCATCTTGAGCAACATCCCAAGGGTCAGAAAACAGAATTGCTCCAACTGCTCCAGCTTGTTGTGCTTTGTACACTTTGTCACCTCGAAAACCATGCCCATATCTCATCAGAGCAATCTTATCCTTCACATCGACCCCCATCAATTTTAAGTTTTCGAAATCGTCTGCGGTTCCATGATTGATATACACTATCTCGGCAGAAACAGTACCGTTGCCAGCATAAGCTAGCCATTGATGCCCGGCATCTGGAAAATTATATTGTTTTGGTTATATCAAACATCAAATAACCAACATTTTCCTGATTGCTCATCAGGGATAATAACCGGACTGACCCCTTTACTCCGGAATGCTTCTTCACCATCTGAATTTCGAATAACAACGGAATTCGGATTCTCAAAGTCTGGATAAGACAACAAAACTTCGTAAGGCAGCATGTGTACATCTTCAAGACCAGCTTCCATCCACGCATTTGCAATTGCATATGCCACTTTTTTATTTGCATCGCTTCCAGAAAGGTGGGGTTCTTTTGAGAAGATGCGGAGGTAGTTCTTAATGTTCTCGGATTTTATGTTGTCTTGGATAGTCCTGGTATCGGTTTGATTAACATCTGAAATTAAATTTCGTGGCCTAGAGCCCTTAAAGTTAGGCGATCATGTGTTAAATGGCCTAGTAAACATATATACCATTTTTGGACGATCAACCACTGTGGTATAGAAAAATCATGTTCAGAAAGTCAAGTCATCATGTTAAAATGGCCTAGAACCAACACAGGTTAATATCAGTTCATTTTTTGAGCCTTTAAAGTTGGTTGCCTTAGCAAACACACCGTGCATAAGTGGAGCCATCAGGTTAACGGCCTAGGAAACTTATTAGAGATTCAAAACAACTTTTTAATATTATATCTACTTTCATCGATCATAAGAATATTATTGTATCAGGAGATTTTAATTGTAAAGAAATTGATTGGTGCTCAGATCCTCCCACACCAACACAACCCCTACAGCTAGCCATAGCGGTTATTGATTTTTGCGTAACAAATAATCTTACTCAATACGTAAAGCAACCTACTAGAGGCCCAAACATTCTTGATCTACTTTTTTCGAATACGTCACTGTCTAATGTTGTGGTTTCCAGTCCAATAGGGTTCAGCAATCATTCAAAAATATCTTTCCAGCGTGACCTTATTCACAAGCCAACTCCTGTGTACATCTCTATCCCTGATTATAAAAACGTAAATAGGCAAATGCTCCAACAAATGTTACATAGAGTTGACTGGACACAAATCTTTGGTTCAAGTTTAGACATTAATGACAAATATGATAATTTCCTCTCCTACCTTAATCATGTTTTTGAATGCACTGTTCCTTGGATTAGAGTAAATTCTGAATATGGAAATCTCCCCCAATACCTGATATCGTTCAGTAAACTTGTAGACTACCTTTGGGAAAAAACGAATTACTATATAAGACTTTTGTGCGACCGTATTTGGAATATGGAACGGTGGTAGCCAGCCCTTCTAAAAAACTGCTCATTGACAATATAGAGAAAGTGCAAAGCTCCTTCATTAGAAAATTGATGAATAGAATAGTGGGTAGAAACTTAACGAGAATTGATAAGGATTACAAAACATCTCAAGACAGATTGACCGAATTCAGCCTAGAATCACTACAATCTAGACGGGAAAAGCTTGATCTGAAATTCTTCAACAAACTCATTGTGGGTAAAATTAATATAAATCATTTATCATATTTCAAAATTAGATCGAAAAAACGCGCAGCCGCCACACCTACCAATGGAAAACTCTAAAGTCTAAACTTAAACAAAACTTCTTCACACATAGGGTTCTTAGTAAAATGATGAGCTCTACAAAACGGATCTAAAAGCCTGCTGCTATCAGAAGTTCGGAAAAAGATTTGTTATTATCCACTATTATTCATTTCTAGGTTAAGAAATATCAATTTTATGTCACCATGTCCCTTTTTGTCTATTAATTCTCTTTTTCATTCTTTTTTCTTTTTATTCTTCCACGTATTTTTTACGTAATAAATACAATACAATACAATAGAATTAGATGAACGTGAGGTCATTTCTAGGCCATTACGTTGGTCGCCTAAGAAACTCAACTTGCAAAAGTTAGGCCACCATATTAAAATGGCATAAAAACACACCAGGTGAATTTCGAGCCATTTCTAGGTCGTATAACATGGTGGCTAGAAAACTAACCTTGTAAAAATTTAGGTCACCATGTTAAAATGGTCTAGAAAACACACCGGTGAATTTCAAGCCATTTCTAGGTCGTTTAACATGGTGGCCTAGAAAAATAAGCGTGCACGTTAGGTCATCATGTTGAACGGCCTAGGAAACACAAAAGGTGTGTTTTATACCATTTTTGGGCGATAATCTACGATGGCCTAGAAATATCATTTTGAGAAAGTTAGTCCACTATATTCCGCAGATGAAATCGGAGAAAGTGATTTTCGACATCGATCGGAAAAAAATTTAAAACTCGTTTGACCTAATTCTCGAAAAAAATCCTGAATCGAAAATTTTTCGAAAAATCATACTTGTAAAATCCCGGGCCGGGCCTGAGGAAATTTTCAAGACCCGGGCCCGGCCCGGAAGGCCCGGTATCACAAATTATGTATTTTTGAGCCAAATTTTGAGCTCTCAATACAATTTTCTCCATTTTTTTTTGTTATTTTGGATTGTTTGTCTGTTTGCTCTAAAAAGATCGAAAAAACTCAAAAAAATTTTTTGATCGAAAAAAATCACATAAGGGTCCCCCCTTATGTGTTTTTTGAAATGTTCAAAACTTGTGAAATGACAGGCCCGGCCCGTTACAAGTATGCGAAAAATGCTAGAAGTAAATTCGAACGAAACGAAAGTCGCAGACTGAAACTCACCATTAGTGAACTTTCGTTTTGAGTGGTGCGTCGCAAGAATAGTTATGCATACCAAAATGATCAATAAGACGGCAATCGAGATATAGGAAATTATCATCGGAGTTCCCGTCCACTTCATGGAATCTGTAACCAACTTAAACAGTATCGACTATTTTCAGAGGCCAAACAAAAAAAGAAGAAAAATACAATAACAAAAAAAGGAATGCAGACAGTAAGACTGTTCGTACTTCTTTATCATTATTATGATTGCACTATTGTTTTCGCAATTTTCGAATTGTTCTTCTATCACTTTTGCATTCTGTATGTCTTGGAAAACCGATGCCTTGCAATGCATTTCTAGAGATAAGAGTTAAAAGCGAAGGTTTATAACACTTTTAAAACTGAAATATGGGGGATTAAAAAAATTATCGTAAATACAGTCTACTAAAAGGGGGTGAGGAGGGGTTGAATTGTTGTAAAATTGTGATACACGGAGAGAATCATTGAGACAACACATACATTTTTGAATTGATTAAATCTTCTTTTAATTTTCGATCCTTTCAATTTCCTATCAACCGAAACATCCAAAAATCTCAAATTCTTCGATTCGGACAATCTTTGTATCCATCAATGTCTCCGATTCTTACGTTACGCATCACCAATTTTTATAGGTGTTTGAGATTTTTTATTCCGTCCAGAGTTGATAGACCTCTCGCGAAAGAAATATCCAAGAAACGAAGATTTGGAAACGAATTACAGAAATTCGAAAACCGGAATCGTTCGTTGAATACCATGTAGTTGATTTTAATGCTTTCAATTTTTGCTTTCTGTGAAAATAAGCGAGAATGATTTTTGAAGGCCGCTTGAACAAATTTTCAAGATTTTTAATGGTTTTTTTAAAGGAAAAAGCATACTTGCTACGGGCCGGGCCGGGCCTTTCTCAGTAAAGCTTTAAAGGTGCATTTCTCCAAAACCAACAAAGCTATAACAGTTTTGTTAACTGCGAAAATATGGTTTTTAGAATTTCAAACAATATGGTATAAAAAATGTAATTCTAGCTTCGTTGTTTTTTGAGATACTGTAATTTCAACATAAAGCATCTCAAAGGCGCATAAGATAATCTGAAAAGAGAAAGGAGAAATTGAAAACACAGTTTTTTATTTTTTTATGCGTTTTATTGAAAGAAAGAACAAATTCAGAAGAAAGTACATGATTATTTAGATCAGAAATTAAAGAAAATCGAGAATTCGAAGAATTCGAAGAAAAAATATAAAAATTAGGAGAAACTATCACTTCCGTTTGGCTGGTTGGACGTTCTCTTCCTCCACTTCCACCTCTACCAACTTCCTCTTGTTCGTCCTCTTCCTCTCCAGATAACTGTAGTCCTTCTGGAACCATGCATCCTTCTTGATCTCCTTAATTGTGGCACGTGCCGGGGTGTCGACTTCGAGCATTCTTTCCAGCAAATCTAAAAATCAGATAATTAGAAAAAAAACTTTAAGAAAAGAAATATAAAACTCACCAAAGACATCATCGTCAATATCCCAGTCCATCACATCATTCATCAGCCAGGTTTCATACTGTAGCTCCTTTTCTGTTGGTTCCTCCCATGGAACGTCTCCAATGAGCATCTCCACGAGGCATATGCCGGCTGACCAGATGTCTGCTGCTTCTCCATCTATGTAGGGATGCACCATGCCTTCCGGACACCAGTATGCGCGGGTTCCAGCCGGTCGGACCCACAACTTCACGCCGTCATCGCCGATGAACTTCACTGAGAGCCCGAAATCGCTGATTTTCAGAGTTCCTGTAATAAAACAATAACGTTAGAATGAGTTAATTAATTTTAAAAAGGAATATCTCAAAAACCAAAAAAGCTGTCAAAAATGTATAAACCAGTATAATATAGCACATAAAATTTTACATATTTTGTTAGTTGACAAAATTTTGATAGCGCACTTGGTTCTTGAGATATGCTCCTTTAAAGATTGCCTTTAAAGAAGGAAGCGCAATCTTTAAAGGCGCATATCTCGCGAACCAAAAACGCTACAAAAAATTAATTAACAAAATATGGAAAATTTTAAGTTTCACATTTTTGTAATTGCAAATTTTACAGTAGCTTTTTTAGTTTTGGAGATACACCTGATTGAAAATATGCTAGAGAAATAAAGAAAAAAGAAGACTCACCATCAGTTTTGATCAGCAAATTCAGTGGCTTAATATCTAGATGAGCCACACCAAGACCATGTACATGCTCTAATCCAGCAATCAACTGCCGGAAATATCTCTGAGCATACTGTACCGGCATTCCATCACCATAAATCCGAGTACTGAGGTCCCCACAATAAGCCATTTCTAGGAACATCCGGGGTACCCCATTTTCCTCAGTCATCGCGAATATTTCACAAACATTCTGATGTTTATGGGTGGAGCCAACTAGAGAATGAATCTCAAACTCATTCTTGGCCATGTAAGCCTTCTCTTTCGAGAATTCTTTCATCGCACAGAATCTGGAATTTCTTGTACGAATCATGGACACTTCTCCGAATGCACCTTTCCCAAGTGATGAGCGAATTTGGTACTCGGAGAATTCAGAAAAGTCAATAGCTGACATTTTAGCGAATACCTTAGGTAAGAAGAATCCGAACGTTAGGATGTATTAGTAAGTTACTAATGAATGACCAATTTGGGATATGGGGGGAGGGGCCGGAGGTATCCAACACTGTCTTCACCTCCCTCATTAAAAAATGGTTTATGACACCTGAACCTCCTAAATATTGACCACCTGAAGACGGTAGAAAAGATGCCTCCTGGGAAAACGGAAATTTTCCGGCCTAAAACTCAAAATAACGTCTGGGAACCTATATCATCTTGTAGAGTAACAAATTTGGCACATCAATGTTCCTTCAATTTTGGCACCGAATTTTGAAATTTTGTGAAAATTTCGGCGAATTTTCTGGATTTTTCAAGCTTTTTCTGCTTTCTTTTGCTAAATTTCGAAGTAATTTGAGTCATTTTTCATGTAATTTTAACTTATTTAATTTCCAGAAATAAGAAAATCGTTCATAACGCTCCAATGATAATTAGCTCATATCTCGGTTGGTTTTTGTCCAATTTGAATGAAACTTACATTTTTGGACTTGTCTCGTTTAGACGGTTCGAATGAATCTAATCAAGCCAATATTCAAAACATTCTGAATTTTTATTGCAATTGCGCTCCAATGATAATTGTGCCTCATCTCAGTGAGTTTTGGTCCAATTTGGTAGAAACCAGAATTTTCGGAGTCCTCACGTTCAGGCGGTTCAAAGCAGACCTTCGTTTATGACAAAGATTAAATGAGATAAAAAAGAAGTCTGTCCTTATGAGTACTAGTTTGACCAGATGGTCAACCAAGATGTCCTACTTACTCATAAACTAATGTCATAACTAATGGTAACACCTGAAACTATTTTACTTTTTTTTCAGATATATTGAGAATTCGTGGTCTAATCCTGTCAACTTGTAAATAATATTAAACACGAAATACAATATTTTTTAATTAATTTTCATCTTTATTCAATTATCTCATTGATGCAAGAGAGTGTCCTAATTCTTTGGTGTTTTGACAACTTCAAAGCATAATCCACCGACACATTGATCATCTGCACCATCTCCACAATCAGCATTCGTTTCGCACTTTTTGGGTTGCACGGGATCCATGTATCCCTTTCGCTTTGGTGCTCCTGCAGCGGTGAGAGTGTCAATGTTCTTTGGTGTTTTGACAACTTCGAAGCAGAATCCACCGATACAATCATCATCTCCACAATCAGCTTTCGTTTTACACGGGGTGTTGTGATCCATGTACGCGTTGGAGACAAGCCAACATGGCCAGAGCGAAGAAGACGATCTGAAAATTGAGAGTGGCTTTAGATTTTCCAAGAAAACTTTTAAGTTCTGAATCATAAGATTCATAGTAGTTTCTAGAACAAGGGAACATAATTTTAAATACTATTCCAGCCATTTTTTAAATGTGCTCTCTATCCAAGGCTGGACAAATTGTCTTCCAGGACATTCTAGATTTCAGAAGCTTCTAGACTCTCCTAGAATCTTCTAGAACCTTCTAGAACCCTGCACACAAACTCACGAGGGTGAACTTCATTTCTCAGGAGAGAGAGCAGTTGCTGTCGGAGAGCAGGGGGATTAGTCAACTAGGGACTGATGTCTATATTTGTTTTTCAACTGACCTATACCTTCAACGATGAGCTGGAAATATGTGGATGACTTAATTTCGATTTTAGGATATTTCACGGTCTTTGGAAAATGGATCACGAAATTATTGAGAATTTAGAGATCTGAAATTTTTAAGAAAATATAGATCGTTGATTGAGAAATCGAGAGCCAGGATTACTATCCAATTAGAATGACTAAATTCCGACAATACAGTTTTAGATTACTGAAATTATTGGAAACAATTCTTAATTTGGAAAAAATCCTGAGGTTCCAGAGATTCACAAAAATTGGAAAACAAATATTTTGAATCTTTTTTCTCGAAATTCCGTAACTTTGAAAGTTTTGAATGGTTCGAAACGTGAGGAATTCATAAAGTGTCAGAGAATTCAGCCATTCAAGATAACTTTCAGAAGATTCTCGAAGAATTTTCAAATTCCGAAAAAATTTTTTATTGACTACATGTATTTTTAAACCATAGTAATTTTTAAAAATGGGCGATCCTATATTTTCAGATGTTCAATTTGAAGACAACAAATGAAAGAGCATTATTTTATTCTTAATAAAACTTTTATTCGAAAACTTTTATTCGAGTTCAGTGTTTCTTAAAATCTGGGCAACACTCGTTGTCGGCGCCTCCAAAGCAGTCGGCGGAGAACTCGCACTTCGTTGGAGGAATAGCTCCCTTGCGCTTTGGTGTTCCTTCAGCGGTGAGAGTGTCAATGTTTTTTGGTGTTTTGACAACTTCAAAACATAATCCACCGACACATTGATCATCTGCACCATCTCCACAATCAGCATTCGTTTTGCACTTTTTGGGTTGCACGGGATCCATGTATGCGTTGGAGAGGCAAGCCAGCATGGCCAGAGCGAGGAAGACGATCTGAAAATTGAGAGTGGCTTTAGATTTTCCAAGAAAACTTTTTAGTGGCCCAGATTCTTTAAAGGCAGAGATTCCAGAATCTTCTAGAACTTTGCATCTAAACTTACGAGGTTTAACTTCATTTCTCAGGACAGAGAGAGAGAGAGAGAGAGCAGTTCCTGTCGGAGAGCAGGAGGATTAGTCAACTAGGGACTGATGTCTATGTTTGTTTTTCAACTGATCTATACCTAAAACGATGAGCTGGAAATATGTGGATGACTTACTTTCGAATTTAGGACATTTCACGGTTTTTGAAAAATGGGTCACGAAATTATTTAGAATTTTGAGACCTGAATTTTTTTGAAAAGAAGATAGGTCGGTGACGTGAATAATATTTTCGAATCAATTTGCGAAATTAGGCGCCAGAACAGAAAATAGATGTTATTCATTGTTAGGTGTCCATCGAGAGAATCCTATTGTGATTCATTGTTAACTGAAAATTAGAATCAGCCCATCAATACAATTTACCTAGTTAGAATCTCAAAAATTAAAACTCCATTCAAAATTTGGGGTTTTTTCAGTCCTCCAGAATCTCTTTGTCGGAAAGATAAGCCTGAAAATCTGAAAGCGTCTTAAAACCTGTCTAGAAGTACTTCCGAAGGGTCATGCTATTATAGGGGTTCCTTCTTTTTTACCGGCCAACTTTTTAAAAGCTTGGGTTCATTTCGAAACTCTTTATCTCAGTTCTTTTGAGATATATCAAAAAGTAGTCAACTGACAAAACGTTTATCATAATTTTATCAACATTTGGTCAGTTTATCACTTTTTGATATATATTACAGAAACTGAGATAAATCGAGTGAAATTCTGGTACAGTCTTGCAGTAACATGAATTTTTGGTCCCCTTTTTAAAAAATTTAAAGTTCAATCATCAGATTTCTTTTCGGTTTTCAACTATTTTGTTTTTCCTTTTTCCATTCTAACCAAAATGTCTTCTTCCTATCCATTCTAATCCTTTTCCGATTCTCTAAACTTTCCATTCTTGCTAACCTAATCCATTTTTTTCTTCTTACATAAAATCACCTTCGACTATTGAGAAATAACTCGTTATATATGGTATGAGATCGGTCAGTTCAGAAACAACTTTAGCTTTTCGCTTTTCAGTTATTCTCCCTCTCCATTCTCTTCTATTCACTAGTGGAACAGATTAGGCTTAAATAGAATAGGCGAAAAAAAAGAATGAAACTTTTCGGCGAAAAAGGGAATAAAGGAAAATCTACAATGGCATTTCATTATACAACGAACAGTTTAAAGGGACATTAAAAAAAGAAATTGACAAGTTTTTTTATTTGGCTGAAAATGGAATTGGCTGTAAATGATCATTGGAATTAATTGAATTGTTACAATTGAAGATGGTGTAATTGGTTTTTACAGACCCTTTAAACTGAAAAAAGTTGTAAATTTCAAAAAAAAAAACTGAGTTTCTGACTAATTGAGACTAATTGTGAGACTAATTGAGGTTGATTTGAGATATTCAAAATTTCAGAATTCAAGTTTTTTAAAATTAAAATTGCAGAATTTCGCAATTTTTTGAAATTTCAAGATGTTACAGCAACCTAGAACTTTCTCAGAATTAGAATTCAAGAATTTACAATTCCAAAATTCCCAATATTCAATATTACGAAATTTCATATGTTAGAATTTCAAGATCTCAATAAAACAATTTCGGAAAGCTTCTATATTTCAGTATTCTCTGAAACTACACGAATTTGACTTTTTTAGAACTTAAAAGATGTTACAGTAATCCAAAACATCAGCACCTCGGAATCCAGGATTTCACAATTGAAAAATGATATTCAATTTTGTAAAATCTTGAAATACAGGAACTTCCCTTTTTTGAGGCATTCTCAATTTTGAAAGTTCAGATTAACAGAATTTCAGATGCCAGTCTTTCCGAGATTTCACAAATCCATTTCGGGTTTTCAAAAACTAGTATTATCAGATTCTCTAGTCTCTCTAATTGGATAGTAGTCCTGGCTCTCGATTTCTCAAGTTGATTCCAAAATATTATTTACGTCAACGATCTATTTTCTTTTCAAAAAGTTTCAGTTCTCCAAATTCTTAATAATTTCGTGACCCATTTTCCAAAAAATCGTGAAATGTCCTAAATTCGAAAGTAAGTCATCTACATATTTCCAACTCATAGTTTTAGGTATAGATCAGTTGAAAAATAAATATAGACATCAGTCCCTAGTTGACTAATCCTCCTGCTCTCCGACAGCAACTGCTCTCTCTCTCTCTCTCTCTCTCTCTCTCTCCTGAGAAATGAAGTTCACCCTCGTAAGTTTGGATGCAAAGTTCTAGAAGATTCTGGAATCTCCGCCTTTAAAGAATCTAGACCATGATTCAGAACTTAAAAGTTTTCTTGGAAAATCTAAAGCCACTCTCAATTTTCAGATCGTCTTCCTCGCTCTGGCCATGCTGGCTTGCCTCTCCAACGCATACATGGATCCCGTGCAACCCAAAAAGTGCAAAACGAATGCTGATTGTGGAGATGGTGCAGATGATCAATGTGTCGGTGGATTATGTTTTGAAGTTGTCAAAACACCAAAAAAACATTGACACTCTCACCGCTGAAGGAACACCAAAGCGCAAGGGAGCTATTCCTCCAACGAAGTGCGAGTTCTCCGCCGACTGCTTTGGAGGCGCCGACAACGAGTGTTGCCCAGATTTTAAGAAACACTGAACTCGAATAAAAGTTTTCGAATAAAAGTTTTATTAAGAATAAAATAATGCTCTTTTATTTGTTATTCTCAAGTTGAACATCTGAAATAAAGGATCGCCCATTTTTAAAAGTTACTCTGGCCTAGAATACATTCGGCCATTACTATTTTTTTGTATTTCAAAATTTCGAAAACTCTTTAAGAATCTTCTATAGGTGAACGCAAATGTCTGATAGCTGCACTTCTTGGAAAAAATTACTGTTCTGGTCATTTTGTAATAACCAATTAAGTCAAAATTGACCCCTAGCTATAAACAAACCTAATTATCTCATAATCCAATTGACTGGGAATTATCCAAGGTTCAAGGACCGCATCCCTCTCGAATCTTCTCAAACTCCCAAAAACCAACAAAATGAATTCTTTGCCAAAAAAAGTGCATGTTCCCAAAGTCAAGACACTTGTTTTACACCTCCTTCTCAACCTCTAATTACATATCAAAAAGGTCCTTGGCACAAATATCCTGTATGTGTGGCGCCATCAATCTCAAAACAACACCTCATATCGCCTCTCCCAATGCCATCATCAATTCCTCAAAATAGACTCCGCCCCCACACATTTTCTGTGTTTGTATTCCGATTCTCCACCGTCCGTCCGTTTGGTTTTGCCGAAAGGACTACGTACGTTTCTGAAGCCGACCACTCCCCTGCTATTAAGCGATTGCGTCAGAGAGACGAATCTCGTAATAATTCATTCAAAACTTTTCTTTTTTTCATGTTGGCTTTAATCATCTCTTAAATTTTCTGGAAGTTTCCAACCATTAGGCTAGAAACCTTTTATTTATTTTTCTGGAGTTTTATACATTTTCTGAAAATCCTGAAAAATAGGTTTTCATTTTTGAAATTAGAATTTGTTGATAATTTTTGGGATTTTACTGCTGAAAAATTTTAACAGAAAACTGGAAATACCGTAAACCCTGTGTTAGAAAGGACGGCCCTTCTATTGTTCCAAGGTACCTCCGGAGGGGCCTTCTAACGGAGGAGCCCTTCTAATACACGTTTTACAGTAATCAGGTTTAAGTGTCTGTCTGGTACGACGAATTCGAACGGTTTCAAAATCGAACAGGCCTAAAATCGAACTGATTCAATTCAAAGCAGTCCTTTTTTCGCACGCTTACCAGAACAGAACGCGGACAGAATCGAACTGTTACAAGTTCAAACTGGTAAGTGGTCAAACTGTCCCAAATTGGAACGCTGTTTTGTGTGTGCTTTCATGCGCGCTCTGTTGCAGGCAGCGTTCCAATTTGGGACAGTTCGACCCCTTACCAGTTCGAACTTGTAACAGTATATAAAAGCTGTCGACTGATAAACTATTGATGATATTATGATAAAAGTTTTATCAGTTGACCATGTTTTGATATCTTCTATGGGAATCGAGATAATTGAGCTCAAAGATGACAATTTTGATTTTTCCAGAAATTCATGAAAATACGTTGAAAAAAGATCACTAAATGATAATGGACTCTATCATCGAATCGATATCAATTTGGATTTTGATAATCAGAATAGTGATTGCCCATAATAAAATTGACTACAACTACTATTACACACAGATGTCACCGCCGAGATTGGTAGGTTTTTTAGCTTTTGATTCTCAAATTTAGGAAACTCTGAGATTCTGAGATTCTGCAATTCTAAGATTCTAAGATTCTAAGATGCTAAGATTCTAAGATTCTAAGATTCTAAGACTCTAAGATTCTAAGATTCTAAGATTCCAAGATTCTAAGATTCTAAGATTCTAAGATTCTAAGACTCTAAGGTTCTAAGATTCTAAGATTCTAAGATTCTACGATTCTAAGATTCTAAGATTCTAAGACTCTAAGATTCTAAGATTCTAAGATTCTAAGATTCTAAGATTCTAAGATTCTAAGATTCTAAGATTCTAAGATTCTAAGATTCTAAGATTCTGAGATTCTAAGATTCTAAGATTCTAAGATTCTAAGATTCTAAGATTCTAAGATTCTAAGATTCTAAGATTCTAAGATTCTAAGATTCTGAGATTCTGAGATTTTGAGATTCTGAGATTCTGAGATTCCAAAATTCTGAAATTCTGAATTTCGGAAATTCTGATTTTTTTTTCTGAGATTATGAGATTATGTTGGACGAACCGGGGAACAAATCCAAAATGTTTTACTGTAACTATCTGAAAATCCCCAAAAAATTCCGAAATTTTCAACATTCAACGTCCCGAAAATCCCGAAATAAAGTCCTCAGAATTCGAGATTCTCAAATTCTGAAAATTCAAAAACTGGAATCTTCAAAGATAAACCTTTTGCTGTCCGACACCTCAAAAACCCTAGATTCTCATATTTTTCGGAATATTTTTTTCCAGGAGTGTGGTTCCGAAGGCATTCGATTGCACATCAGTCCAACTGGAACATTCGGTGGTCATGTATATGTACGTGGATTTTTTCCTCAAACGTAAGTAACCCCCTCGTTGACCTATATTTTGATCTACTTGAGTAAAATGAAACTTTTTTTTTTGAAAAATGGTAGGAAAAACTCTGTTTATTTGTTTTGTGGAGGGTAGTAGGAAGACGAAATGTGGAGGAAGTATAATTTTCCAAGGACAGATGTGTTCTATTTTCTCTCTTTGGATTATATAACGGGTGGTGTGTGGAAATAAAGGGAAAATGAGGGATTTGAATAGAGGATGATGATGACGATGGAAACAGGAACGGACAACAAGAGACATTTTTGAATTCCAAGGAAATCTGGACATTGGGATAGACATACAAATTCCGACTTTTTGAATTTCTGAACCCAGAAATCCCAGACTTTGAAATTTTGAGGCTTTATGGAATTTCAACTTTTTTCAGAGATTTTTTTCCCAAAAATCACGATTTTTCAAATTTCATTTTTGAACATTTTTGTCTAGTTTCTCAATTTTTCAGGGTCTGCCATTTGAACTACTGTACTCGATTGACGAATCAGCCAATTGTCATGGATCTCCCGTTTCGAGGACCCTGTAACGTTAGGAGAAGACGGAATGTGAGTTTTTTTCAAATACTTCTGTGTGACCGGATGTCCAGATGTCTCCGAGAATTTTAGAATTCGAAATCATTTAAATTATTAGATTCTAGGAAGTTTGAGCTCCAAGAAATATTAAGCATATCAGAATTCGAAAATTTTAAAATTTCAAAATCTAAAAAAAACAAAATTTTAAATTTCGATTTTTAAAGAAACTGGATTTTTGAGATTCTGAAAATTTCACATTCTTCTGAAATATTGAAAATTTAATGAAAATAACTTGAGAATTTTAAAAGTTTCAAATTTAAGAATTTAAGAATTTCAGAATCTTAAAATCTCAGAATCTCGAAACCATAAAATTTCAGAATTTCAGAATTTCAGAATCTCAGAACCTCAGAATCTCAAAATCTCAAAATCTCAGAATCTCAGAATCTTAGAATCTCAGAATCTCAGAATCTCAGAATCTCAGAATCTCAGAATCTCAGAATCTCAGAAATTCAGAATCTCAGAATCTCAGAATCTTAGAATCTCAAAATCTCAGAATCTCAGAATCTTAGAATCTCAGAATCTCAGAATCTCAGAATCTCAGAATCTCAGAATCTCAGAAATTCAGAATCTCAGAATCTCAGAATCTTAGAATCTCAAAATCTCAGAATCTCAGAATCTCGAAACCTTAAAATTTCAGAATTTCAGAATCTCAGAATCTCAGAGTATCAGAATCAATCTCAGAATCTCAGAATCTCAGAATCTCAGAATCTCAGAATCTCAGAATCTCTTCTGTTCTGCTAGAACTGGAATCTTCGGAATCCTTCTGTTTTCTTTTTCTTGTCCAATTTCCAATCCATACGTATTCACACCAGAATCTATATTTCCTGAATCCGAATTTTTTGATTTGGGTCCAATATCACCAGCATTGTCCTGTCAGACGCCTTCTCCAGATTCTAAACTTAGAAAACTGTAGTCATTTTAAAGACCATAGTTTGCATTTTTGTGCTTGGAGACACATGTTTTTCTGAACTCACTAAAACCTTTTTCTACAAACCATAATTTCCCAGAACTACACCGAACAGCAGCAAAAAAGTTCAAAAGAAATACTAGAACGAGTGGGGTTCGAACCCACGCGGTGTTATCCACCATTGGAACTTAAGTCCAACGCCTTAACCACTCGGCCATCGTGCTGCATGCTTAATAGAGAAGGATAATATTCATAGAGAAGGAAAACGGGAAAAGGGATAAGCCCATAAAAGTGGGGTTCAGTGAATGCTTTATTTTATGCAAAATAATTGAAAAAATCAGAAGAGTGGCCGAGAGAGAGTTTTCTATTCCCCGGGCCAAAATGCGGTCGATTTTTTTTTCGAAATTCCAGTCTGAAGTTTTGAAATTCCAGGTGACGCCTCCATCAATTTCCTATGACGTCACCGTAATCATTCAACATCACCCAATGTTTATCACTTCTTTTGATAAAGCATACCGATTGAATTGTATCTACCGGCAACAAGAATCAGTGTTACAACAAAGGATTAATGTGTCGTAAGTTTATCAGTAAATCTCATATGCTTCATCAGTTTAGCGTATATGCTAAAATTCCAGAGACATTCCTTCCACATCTCTCCAAAGTAAAAACCCGCCTAGATGTCGGTATGATGTGTTGTCTGGCTCGTTGAATGGTCCAGCTGTGAAATTTGCAAATGTTGGAGATATTGTAGTACATAAATGGACTTGTGATAGTGGTAAAGACCTTGAAATTTCGCTCTTTTCGGAAGGAAAAAATTTTCAGACCGCTACGGATTTGTTGTCCATTCTTGTGCGGTTCGAGATGAATCTGGAAAGGATTTTCAGTTTATTGATGAGAGAGGGTAAGTCCATAGAATTCCAATTTTGATTCAATTTTATCTTGGTTCCTGTAGAAGATATCAAAAAGTGGTTAACTAACAATTAGTTGCTGATTTCATGATAAACATTTTGTCAATTGACCTCTTTTAGATATCTTTTACAGGAAGCGAGATAGAAGGGGTCAAAGGGTCGGAGCCCCTGACGCTGTCGGCTCTGCGACAGTGTAGCTCAGCCGGTAAAAGCGCGGAACTAACAGGTCCAAGAAGAGATTTTAAAAATGTGTTAGGAAGAACTTCAAGAGTGCAAAAAAAAACAAATATCCCGCTATCAAAAACCTGTTCCCAAGACAAGATTTCTAACTTTTACCTCACATCTCCGAAGACTTCCAGGCTGCGCCAAAGTGCCTTCAACTTTGAGCCACTTTATCTAGCTTCCTGTAAAAGATATCAAAAAGTGGTTAATAGACAAAATATTGATGATATTATGCTAAACAATTTATCAGTTGACCACTTCTTGATATCTTTTACAGGAAGCGAGATAAATGAGCTCAACGTTGACGACTGATTTTTAATTTTTCTTTGTGATATTTTTGAGACTAAACATTATGTTTAGACTCTTTAGAACTCAAATTTAATCTCCTCAAAATTTGTAATGTTTCTTTTCTTCCAGATGCGTCACAGATTACAGTCTATTCCCCGAAGTCACCTATTCTTCGGATCTGAAATCTGCGTTCACTGCAGTCCGGGCTTTTCGATATGCTGATCAAGTGATGGTCCATTTCTCATGTCAAATTACAACTTGTCAGAAACAAGAGAACGGATGTGAAGGTATTTCGGTTAGTTTAGGGTTTCTAATAATCTGAATACCGTACCTCCTCTATTAGTACATCGGCTCTATATTTGAACTTTGAGCTCAATTATCTCAATTCCTATGCAAGATATCAAAAAGTTCTCAACTGCCAAAATATTTTCAATATTATGACAAAATTTTTGTCAGTGGACCACTTTTTAATATATTTTAGGGGAAGCGAGATAAATTGAGCTCAAAATCGGCGTTCAATACAGAAATTTTGATTTTTTGGTATGTATTTTTGAGCTCAATTATCTCAACTTCTGTAAAAGATATCAAAGAACAATTAACTGACAAAATATTTTTTTATATTATGATAAACGTTTTATCAGTGAGCAGCTACTTGATATCACTCAAAGGAACCGAGATAAATTGTCTCAAAGCTGATTTCTGAATTTTTTACAGCCACCAATCTGCAAACCAATGGATCTTGGACCAATCAAAGTTCACTATGTGAAACATAAAAATAACGAAATTGGAGATATTAATGCTGCAGTGGAAACCCTCCCTCCTCGAATTGAGAATACTTCTGATCCAACAAGAAAACTAGAAGACGTCGCGCCGACAACTACAGTAAGATCCACAACTGCAAGAGCTTTCTCGAGTACCACAATGACCAATGAAAGGTTGAAGATTGGACTGAGAGATGAGGTAGGCAAGAACATTTGAAAAAATATATATTCTGAAAATTCAGAAATCTGAAAAAAAAACCAAAAAAACTTTTCTTGAAACTCATTTTTAAAAATTTCAAAAAATGGACAAAAATAGCCAGAAAAAGGGAAGTTTTCAAATATCAAATTTTTAAAGATTTAGAAAACTAGGGAACATATAATTTTGAATTTTCGACATTTTATTTCTCTTTCTCCTATGTATCTTCTCTTATCAGCCTATTACACTACGTGACCTATCTTTCTCTGCAACTTCTCTAACGTCTCCACACTCTCCACACTCTTTCCCTCTCGAACAAACAAACAAAACACTTTTTTCTGTTTTTCAATAGTCATCTATTCTCTTCTTCTTCTTCTTCTTCTCCTTCCTTTTCCTCTTCCTTTCTCCCTATCTGTCCATTTCATTGCTCCTCTTCTTTCTCCACCCTCTCTGTCTCTCCCCATCCTTTTCCCTTTTCCTCCTCTATGTCTGCTCGCTCTGTCGTGAAGCATGCAGCACGATGGCCGAGTGGTTAAGGCGTTGGACTTAAGTTCCAATGGTGGATAACACCGCGTGGGTTCGAACCCCACTCGTGCTAGTATTTCTTTTGAACTTTTTTGCTGTTGTTTTGATAGATTGTAGTTTGGGCTATCAGTGAGTTTTAGTGAATTCCGAGCGATTTCTGAGTTTGAAACCTGGAAATTGAATTTTTTCAGGAAAACCATGCTTCTTCCAAGTACCAAAATGCAAAATATGGCCTTCAAAATGGCTACGATTTTCCAAATTTGGAACCTGAAGAAGGCGTTGGACAGGACAATGCTGGTGATATTGGTCCAAAGTCGAAAAATACGGATTCGGGAAATAAGGATGCTGGTGTGAATATGTATGGATTGGAAATTGGACAGGAAAAAGAGAACAAAAAGGTTCCAAAGATTCCAGTGCTAGCAGAACCGGAGAAATTGCCAAAAAGAGGTGGGATTTTGGATACTGTAGTAAAGTTCTGCGATTCTGAATATTGAGACTCTCAAATTCTGAGATTTTGAATTTTGAAGACTCTGAGAATCTGAGATTCTGAGATTCTGAGATTTTGAGATTCTGAGATTCTGAGATTCTGAGATTCTGAGATTCTGAGATTCTGAGACTCTGAGATTCATAGATTCTGAGATTCTAAGATTCTGAGATTCAGAAATCTAGAGATTTTGAGATTCTATAAATTTCGGTCATGAGATTCCGAATTTACGAGATCCTGACTTCTTTCAATTTCTCGATTTCTTATTTTCCGGTCTGGAGTTTTGAAGTTTTGCGATCTTCAATTCAGAGGCGATTGAAAATTTCAGAATTTGAGATTCTGGTTTTCCTGAAAGTTAAACTTGAAAATTCCAAACTCATTATGAAATTCTAAGATTTGGAAATTTCTGAAGTTATGAACTCTTTTAAAATTCAAACCCCCAATTTTTCAATTTCGATTCATATTTTCTTAATTTTTCTCGAATTATCTACATGTATATTTTCAGAAGTGTTCCACGTGGAAACCATATCAAAAACAATGGATTCCGAAATGGATCCACTTCCATACCCAACAAAAGCATCAGTTTATCAACATCGAACACCGCGAAGTCATAAAAAAGACGTCTTCAATATCACTTTGGAAGTGGAAACTCCCAAAATGTTGATTCTAGAAAATGAGCCAAATTCTGAATCATCGAATGGAAAAATTGAATTCAAAGATGCTGAAAATTCAAGTGTTAAATGTGAAAAAATGAATGGACCCAAAGAAAATTTCATAAGTAATACATTGTTATTAACAACATTGGGAGTGTTACAGGTAACTTTTTTTGGAATATTGAAGATAAATTTAACAAATGTACTTTTTAAAATTGTTTTAAATCGCAATTAATGATTCCAGATAATCTCAATTTTGGCACTGATTACTCAACGATTTTATTACAAAAAAGCAATCGATAAATTGATTTTTTCGGCCGATGATCGACCTGGATTATGAAAACCTTGACGATTTTTACTGGAAGATTCTGTTTTTCTAAATTTCACTTTGTATAATTTTATTTTTGGATACTCAGGTGCTTATATATTTTTCTGAACTTATTTTTAAATTGCTCATATAAATATTTTCAAGTTTTTTTTGAATTTTTTGGCATACATATGCATTTTTTTTGAGAACTTGGAACCCAGAAGCTCCAAATTTCTGATATTCAAGGTTTAAAACTTTGAATGGCGGAAATTCTAGAACTTAAATTTTTTTGTTAAAAAAACGAGACATTGTAAGACCAGAATTTCTTTTATTCAAGATTTCAAACTTCTGAGTAGCTGAAATTCAGAAGCTTGAATTTTTGAGATTCCGAATTTCTGAATTTCAGAAATTCAAAAATTCCCGACTTCTGGAATTTGAGAATCTCGAAAATTCTGGTTTTCTGATTTTCGAAAACTCGAAAATTTCTGCATATTTAAAATTGTAAGACTCTGAATTTTTGAATTCGTGAATTTAAGAATTTCAATAATTTGGCAACATCGAGTTCCGGGTAGTCAGAAATTTGAAGTTTTCTTAAAATGTATTGATTAACAAAACAAAAAATATTAAATTTTCAAAATTTTTATTTTTCAAAAAAATTGAGAATTTTTGAAATTGATAATATAAGAGTTCCTGATTCTACAAAAACTAATGAAAGAAAAAATACGGGAGATCCCTAATTTTGAAGATTCTAGAGTTCATGGAACCCAAAAAAAATGAATATTTCTGGTTTGAATATTTTGTGGAGGAAAGGAAAAATCTCAAGAATAATCTATAGGAAAATCGCAGCATTTAGACATTTGGAAAATTCGAAAATTTTAAATTTCTGGAACTTGATTTTGAGAATTCAAAAGAAAAAAAGAATAAAAAAAGGAAAAGGGGAACGACAAAAATGTTGTAACAAAAACAATAAAAATGTTATCATCCAAGTGCACGCTCCCAAACATCCAAGCCAGGAAAAGCAACAGCTTGTCCTGTCTGAAAACCGGCTCCAACAAACGGAGAGCTAACTCCAAATGTGTGTTTCACATCTCCAGATTTATAATTGACTCCAACGTGATCGTTCTGTTGATAGTATCCTCCAACTCCGTATCCATTATCCACTTTCAAATTTCCCGCGTCTTTTCCGTGTAGTGGGAAGGATACGGTATTGTGTTGACCTCCTTCGACACCCAAGGATTGCACCAATGGAATGTTCCAGTGATTCTGAAAGCATTTTTATTATGTTCGCATACTCTTGGGATTTCCAACTTTGAATTTTCGGAGATTAGATTCTTAAATTTCAGTTTTGGCTGGAGTTTTTTTTTGACAATCCGAGGACTTTTGAAATCGTTTTTTTTTAATTTTCGCTCACCTTATATCCGTACATTCCATCGTACCAGTTGGCTCCGACTTCTTGGTCTCCATGGAAATAGTCTCTGAAAAAAAAGGAACTTTTTAGGTAGGTTTTCTCAAAATACTTTAGTTCTAACCATTCTTCTCAAAGGTTTTCACAACGTTCATGTCATCTAACTCTTTCTAAAATCCAATTTCCCCAAAATTCAACATTTGAAATCCCTTACCTGACACCAACAGAATTCGAGAAACCTCCTCCCCATGACCCAAATGGAATTCCCAATCCCAATCCAACTCCAACAGCTCCTTCTTCATTTACTGGATAATATGGAATACCCTTCACATCTACATTTGCAAGATTTATATTAACCTGAAAAATGGCAAGCTCAAATTTTTGAAAATCATGTTTTAGAGGCAAATATCAAGTTTTAAGAGCTAAAAATCTTTCTGAAAACCGAGAGGACTGGTCAGAAAAATGTCCACTTTAGTGACTATGATTACATTTTTAGTAATTTTGGGAATTTCAGTTTTTCTGAGATTTTGAAAAGAAAACAGAACTTGAAATTTCAAAACTTCTGGACACTTAGAGAACTTTTAACAAAAAAATTAGGAAATTCTGGAAAAAAAGTAATTTTCAAACTTAAAATTACAAAATTCGGAATATCCCGAACCCAAACTCTCAATTTTTTCGAAAATTCAGAACATTTGAATTTCCCGAACTTCCGATGTTCCAACTCCGAAATTTCCAAATTGTTCCCAAAATTCGGTACTTTTTGAGTTTCCAATTTTTACTGATTTTCCCTGAAGTTTCACTAACCCCCGAATCGAAGGAATTTGCAATCGAAGCCAATGGATCACTTTTCTCAATAAACGGAGCACAATCTCTGAAATAGGCTGCACATCTTCCCGCGTTTCTGGCTGACGTCTTTTTCGGTTGACAGTGCTTTTGAACTAGTGGTCCCACTCTCGCACATTTCGTTTGTAGAATACGCACTTCTTCGGCACTCAGGGCTCGGTAGCGCTGAAAAAAAATTTAATTTTAAATTTTTTTAAAGGTGGGGGGACAGGAGATTTTTCGTAGTTTTTTTGTAGCTAGAGTATGCATTCTACCGTGACGGTGTACAACGCTTAATGTCACTCTGCGTACATCTGTCGTCCTCGCCTTTATGTATGCAATCGGGCGTGCGCTTTCTCTTTGCCCGCGTGGCTCAGTCGGTAGCGGCGCCACACCCTCAATCATCGCCCTCACAAGTTCAACTCCTCGAGGGGCATTTTTGAACGGAACTTCGAGAACATTATTTTTTTCATGTCCCCCCACCTTTAATGTCTGACGTTGGTCTAATGTTTAGCGAACTTTGTAGAAATCATAGATTTATATAATTTCAAGATTTTGAAACTCAAAATCTATTCTAGAAGTTGTAGAAGTTATAGAAAAGTGGGATTTCACTTCCATGAAATCTAGACATTTACATTGTTTCAGAATCTTAGAATTTACCGTTTGCAGAACTTCAAAATCCAAAAAACAATTTCAGAACTTTATTTTCTTTTTCTATCTGTATTTACATATATCCAGATATGCGTTTTTAGAAGTACTAAATTACATAATACTCAGAAACATTGGGGTTCCAATTCCATTAAATTTAGACGCTTGAACTATTTCAGATACTTGAAATTTCAAGTTTTCAAATCTTCAAAAATTCAAAAATTTTTAGAAAATGCTTGTCTATCTATCTTTCCGAATATCCAGATGTCCTCTTTTATCTATTCTTACCACAGGTCTATGTTCCTCATCATGTGCAGCCGGCCTAATTTCTCTTCGTTTCGCTGATTTCATATTCGGAGGTAATGGTGGAGGTTCGACCACTGCAAACATCACTCTTATCACGTAGGTCTTTGGTTAAGGGTGTAAAAATGTTTTGATCTACAAAAAAAGATTTTCCCTTTTACCTGGGTGATCTGTTGTAATATTGGAATGTGATAAGATTTAGGAATGCGGATTTGTTTTTTTCTAGCCTTCACTTTTCAAAGTTTCAGTGATCTTTATGCCTATTTTCAAGCTCAAATATCAGAATTTCTGTAGGACGTATCCACAACCTGCAAACTAGAAAAAATGTTGGTGATATTATGATAAACATTTTATCAGTTGACAAATTATTGATAGCTCTTAAAGGAACCGAGATAATTGAGCTCAAAAGTACGGTAGTTTTGGACCTTTTTTCTAGCAAAAAAATTGGAAAATTGAAATCCAATGGTTTAGATTCTAAATCGCCAATTTTTGTCATTTTTTTCCAATTACCATATTTGCTATCACCGAAAGTGATATTTTTCTGAAAAAACTCACTTTCCAATACTCCATCTTTTTTGGAATTTGTATGTGTAGTTGATGATTCTCTGGCACTTCTTGCTTTTAATTGCTCACACATTTCCAGGTCGGGATTTCTGGCACATGCTAGTTTGATTAAATGTTCTCGATCCACAGAGGCATTGACTGGAAAATACCAATTTTTGATTTTTTTTTCTGATTTTTATTTATTTGAATTCGATATCAGAGACGTTTTTCAGTTTTGGTTTTGGTCCAAAGTATTTTTTGGCATCAAATTATAAGAAAACACATACTGAGGTTTCAAAAAGAACAACTATGAATTGTGACAAAAATGATCAAAATGGAATCGTTCTTTGGAACTTGGAATCTGAATCTTGAAATATAAAATCAAAGTTCTTCAATGTTTCAAAATTTTCAGGATCTCAGGGATTTCAAAATCTTCAAATCTTTAAAAAACTTAGAACAAGAAATCGGGACCTTTCAATATTTCAGAATCTGAAATTTCGGAAAAATTTGATAACTCCGAGACTCCGAGTTCCTGAAATCTAGAAATTTCATATAAATTCTCAAAATTTCAAAATCTCAAAAATAAGAAATTTTAGAATATGAAAGAATCTGAGATCTCATTTTTAATGAATATCATAAAATCTCAAATCTCCAAAAATTCCAGAAATCTCGGAATCTGTTAAATTTCAGAATCTCGAAATCTCAGAATCTCAGAATCTCAAAATCTCAGAATCTCAGAATCTCAGAATCTTCAAATCTCTATATCTCCAAATTCCAGAATCTCAAGATCTCAAAATCTCACCTGCTAAACCCGAAACCCATATAAACAGAATCACAGAAAAATAGTTACAGTTCCGCATAGTCAGACGTCAAAAAATATATAATCGTGTGATTGAAGAATAAAAATGTAAGATTCAGAAGACGTGATCGGTGTGGTTACGTTTGAGATTTTTTACAACAAAGTATTCGAAAAAAACGAGAAACAAATTTTTGTGTGTGTGTGAGGAGGGGAGAGAAATATAAACGGTAGTAGGGAAATATAAATGGGTGAGAGAGAGTAGAGAGATTGAGAGATTTAAAGAAAATGAAAAAAATAATGATGATCACGTTCGAATTTAATCAACAAGAGGGTGAAGGTCACTGGTATAGATGGATGATGATGTCTTGAAAAGAAACTAGAAGAAGTTGAAAAAAAGAGAAAATCTCAGCGGGATGTCAAAAAAGAATCACGAGAAGAATGAATAATAATAAAAAAAGACAAAAGCATATTTTTGTTTTGTATTTTTTAGACTTTTTTTTAGAATGTTGTTCAAAACATTTCTTGGAAATTTGTCATTTTTTGGGGTCACTGACCTAACAAGGTCAGTGTAAGGAACTAGTCTCAAAATAGACGGTTTGGAAATTATGAGACTCCGAAACTGTCAAGAATTCAAGGAAGCAAAAATTCGGAGATTTTTGAGAATTGGGAATTCTGATACTCTGAAGTTCTGAAATTCTGAAATTTTTGAATTTTCTCTGAACTTCTGAAATTCTGAAAATTTTGATATTTCGAGAATTTTAAAATTTCAGGAACCAAAATTATGAAACTTATAAAACATTATCATTGGTTATTTAGATTCGCTCATTTAAATGGAATTCAAAAAACCCCCATAATAGAAAAGTTTCCAGTCACAAAAATGCAAAAAAGGTGTGTTGGGGAAATCGGCGAAAATCTGAATAACTAGGAATTTTCAAAAAATTCTATAAATGCAAAGTTTTCACCCTAGGAGAGGGCGAAAAGAAGGAAGGAACTCCGCCGATGAGGGTTACTGTAAAACATACCGTTTTTTCTACTTTTTGAGTTAATTTTATAGGACAGTTCAAGAGATCTTAGTTAGAATGTTTTGTTTTGGGATTATTACACAGAGTATCGGTCAATAAGATACCCTAAACACTCTAATAAAGCGCCACTTGGATCGTCCACTTTGAGCCTAAATATCTTTCTTCTTTTGGAAGATATCCAAAAGTTGTCGACTTATAAAATGTTTATCATAATATCAGCAATGTTTTATCAATTGACAAATGTTCGATATCTCTCACAGAAAATGAGATACATGGGCTAAAATTTGACGAATCGGGTGAAGTTCTATTAGAGTGTTTACGGTATACCGAAACTCCGTTTTTAGTTGATTTTTTGAAGGGTGTAAAACAGACCTAGATTGAAAACTTTGAATTCACAGAATTTTTCTAAAATTTCTAGTTTTTCAGCTTTTTGCCGATACCTTTTTTGGTCTGTTTTTGTACGGAAAACGTTAAAAAAACGGGTGTGTTTCAGAAATTGGTAATTCAGAGCACATAAAATTTTTACAAATTGATTAAAAATTCCATAAAATTCCATTTTCTACTAAAAATTTTTGAAAAGAGTTATGCGCCTTTAAAGGGGGACTCCTGTCAATTTTTTTATTGCATCAACATGTGTTAAAATTCATCTATTTTCAGAATATTATTGCGAAAAAATTCGAAAAAAATCCGAAATCCCCAAAAAACGCCGTTGAAAAAAAAAAATTCAAAAAAAGGTGCCGCCGAGGGACGAGGATATCGATTTTCAGTGAGAAAACTAGGCCACGCGAGCGGCGCGACTTTCTTAACGGACAAATTTTCCGGAGTTTGTTCGCTTTTATCTCCGACAGGTAAAAAACGTTAAAAAACACTGTCGGCCACTTAAAAATAATGCTATCAGGCGCCGTGGCCTAGTTTTCTCATTGCGAGGGAATTCAAATCCTCGTCCCTCGGCGGCACCTTTTTTGAATTTTTTCATTTTCAACGGCGTTTTTCGGGGATTTCGGATTACTTTTGAATTTTTTCACAATAATATTAGGAAAATAGAAAACTTTTAACACATTTTAATACAACAAAAATTTTTGCTCGGAGTCCCCCTTTAAACTTCCTGAAGAGTAGGACGATGCATCATGTCGGATGTTTAAAGGCGCATATCTAGCTTCAAAATTGAGATAGAAAAATGAAAGTTATACCATTTTGTAGATAATTTAAACGGCTTTGAAGTATCACAACATTATTATTGGTTATTTAGATTCGTTATTCGATATACTGAAATTCTGGAATTTCAATATATCGAAGTTCTCAATGATTAGGGTTTTTAGAAAATTTGGGAATTTGAAAATATAAAGTTGAGAAGTTTTCAGGTTTCAAAAATTTCCAGAAAAATGCAGAAATTCTGAAGTCCCGAAATTGTAATATTCTGAAATTCTCAATTTGGTCAATTTTTCGCATTATTTCTTGCAGGTTTCAAAAAACGATAAATTCGTAAAGGTGGGGGACATGAAAAAATAATGTTCTCGAAAATCCGTTTGAATATGCCCCTCGGGGAGTTGAACTCATGACAGGCAGATCAGGGGTACAGCACCGCTACCGACTGAGCTACGCGGGCAAAAGTGAAGTGGGCGCCCGATTGCATTCATAAAGGCGAGGACGACAGCTGTACGCAGAGTGACATTAAGCGTTGTACACCGTTACGGTAGAATGCATACTCTGGTCCCAAAAATTCCCACGTAAAATGTCCTGTCTCCTTTTATTAAAATTTTATTGAAAAATTAAGAGATAACAGTGATAACAAAAGACAAAAAAAAACAACAAATCAAGTCGATTTTGGGTTTCTCTCAACCTCAAAACCATTTTTGAAAATTTGAATTTTCAAAAAATCAGCAGATTTTGGAATTGGATAGTGAAAAATATCCGGATTATTGTCGGCTCTTCTGACTCCAAATTGTTCAATTCTTTCCTTTAGTTTTTTAAATGAAGTCACTTTTCCAGTCACTCGGCAATATTTCAGATCGGGAAATCGGAGAAGGTACTGGAAATTTTACAATTTTTAGCTAGCTATTATTTTCATCGATTTTTGATCCTTTTAGTCCGAATTTCGACTAAAAGGGCGCATTTTCATTTTCTGCCTGCTCAAAAATTTAGTGTCGTCAAATATGGCGCCAAATACGCAAACACTCTCGGCCGACAGTTTGCGTACTTGGCATCAGACCTTACGCGCAAAACAAATCCTGGAAATTTTCTAAAAAAACCGAATCACCTGAACAATTTTCGTCGATTCTCTCAGAAACAGTGAATCACATTGAAATTCCATTTTCAAGATCTTCAATTTTCGGAGATGCTGAAACTTTGGATTTTCAGCTTGGTTTTTGATCATTTCGTCGAGAAATTGAATAATTTGGAATTGCGATCCTTTGAAATGAGCCTTTTCGATTGTCTCAACTTGATACAACGCCGCAATTCGCTTCTGAATTTCTGTCTCCTCCATTTCCAAATGAACATTCTCTACGTGGATTTTGATTTTCAGCGATTCCAATTTCAGAACGAATCTCTCCAAGAATTGCTTATCGAGATGTGAATCGATTTGAATATTATACAGTTTGAGGTCAGGATCAGTGAGAATACTTAAGAAATCACTCAACGCACGATTTTTTTCGACATAATAGCGTGTTCCGCCATCGATGAACATAGAAATTTGGTCGCGATATCCTGATTCAATGGACACAGATCGAAAATTTTGAGCCCAAGAGTCCGCTAAAGCGCGGAAGGATTTGCACACGTGGCGAAAGACGAATCTGAATCTTTTGAAAAATTAAGAATGGAGCGCATTTACTGACCGATATTTCTCTTGATAACCTTCTCCCAAATTCTCACAGATTTTGTCGAAAATTTGAATTGGCATATCCGTGATAGTACGGTACTTTGGGTCCTGGCTGGAAAATCAATAATTATTTCTGGACAAACCGACACACAGACACACTTTCTATCATAATCGATATCGAAGTTTCCCGCCAAAAATCGCAGCCACCAAAATTCGAATTCCGGATAGTCCATAAAATTGTCGTTGAATCTTCTGCACATGTCCGCGTAAACGTCGTACACTTTACAATATTTCCAATCTCCCAGAGATTCATACAGAATGCACGAGCGAAGAAATTTCGGATTTTCAAGAATCGATGGTTTTTCGGTCATTTTCTGGAAAAAATCAATAATTATACGAGAAATAGAATAAAAATGTGTTATTTGGTCATTTTTTGAATAATTTTTGAATAGAATTCAGTTTTTTAGAAGAAAACGGAGGAAAATTAGCTCAAAACTTATGAAAAACAAAAACAGTGAATGCGCGTCAGGTCTTCCGCTTTGTACGCAAACACTCTACACGTTTTGCGTACAAGGCGCAAGAGCTGACGCGCATCAAACACAAATTTGTTTGAGACCGTACCGATTGGAAAGATTCGAAATCCGAAAGAAACGAAAGCGAAAGAAACGAAACCGTAAGAA